GGCTACTCCAATGCACAATTTTTGCTTGAAGTCTGTCAATTATGTACTTAAACTCCTTTTTTCTATTCCTTCCTATAGTAGTAGGCAATCCAAGATACTTATCTGGGTCAAGTGCTTCCCGAACCGCTGGCATCTATTTTACTCCCTCTCTGCATTCCTCCATAACATTTTTGCTAAAAAAAATGAGTGACTTCTCCAAATCCATTTGTTGGCTTTAACCATCTTCGTATCTTTGTAGTATATGTCTCACCCTTCCGTATTCAGGCTAGTTTGCTTTTATGAAAAGCAGACTGTCATTTACAAAAAAGAGGTAAGTGATTCTAGGTCCATTTCTGATGCACTGATTCTACTTATCAAGCGTTCTCTATGAAACTTGGTAAGGAGAGCTGAAAAGCCTTCAATGCATAACAAAAACAGGTAGGGTGACAATGGGTCTCCCTGTCGTAACCCTCGTTTAGGAAGAAATCTGTCAGTTACATCACCATTGAGCACTATAGAATAAGAAATAGAAGTAACACACTTCATTAAGAAGGACATCCACTTGTTATGGAACCCCAGTTTAAGCATCATAGCCTCCAGGAAAGGCAATTTGACTCTGTTATAAGCCTTACTCATGTCTAATTTTAAAGCTACATACCCTTCCCTACCTACTTGCCTACTCTTAAAAGTGTGAATCATCTCATAAGCAATCAAAACATTATTAGTTATCAACTTACTAGGCACAAAAGCACTCTAGTTTTCGCTAACACAGTATGGTAGGATGAGTTTGAAGCGATTTACAAACACTTTAGCTATGAGTTAATAAATCACATTACAAAGACTTATGGGGTGAAAGCTAGTGGTTTTCCAAGAATGCTTAATTTTAGGGATAAGAACTATATTAATCAATACTATTTACATCCTCTAGAGTAGTACTCGCATTTAAAATAGATAAATAGAATTTTGTAACGTCATGGCCGATTACATTCCAGTATTTTTGAAAGAAAAAACCAAGTATACCGTTACATTCCAATATTTTGAAAGAAAAGAGTAAGCTTACCATCCAAGCCTAGCACTTTAGTAGGATGCATTTGTGTAAGTGTTTCATGAATTTCCTTGGCTTAAATTCTGTTAGAAGTTGGTTATTCATTTCAGGTGTAACTTTGGTTTCCACTTCCTTCAAAATGTCTTTAAAATAGGCAGTTCTTGAGTGGAAATAATGATTGAAAATATTGAACTGCAATAGTCCTTACCTTGTCTTCATCTTCGGTCTACTCCCTTCCTTCATCTTCCAGTCCCTGAATGAAGTTATTCTTGCTTCTACTGGATACTTGCGCATGAAAAAAGGAGGTATTTTTGTCTCATTCTTGCAACCAATTCACTCTAAAGCCCAATAAATCTCGTCCTTCTCCATTGCCTTGTTTAGCTCAGCCTCAACCATGCCTATGCTTCTTAGTAGTCCATCAGTGGGGTCCATAGTTTTTAGCACTTCATACTCATGCTGTAAATCTGCCACCATTTGTTGAGTGCTTCCACGTGCCGAGTAGTACTGCCTCCCCAAAGTTTGGCTTACATGTTGAATTTTTGCCATAATCCCTTTTTGAACCCATGCATTCCATGCACTTCCTAGTTCCTACCACGTCACTGGCCCTACTTTCCTTCACCTATGTGGCTTCAAAGTAGAATTTTGGCCTTTTCTTCCTACTCCCCCTGATGCTTTTGCCTTAATTTGTATCAACACAAATTGGGTTGTGATCTGAGATAGAAAAAACAATATTTCTCATCGTGTATTTGGGAAACGACTCTACCTATTTCAAATTACCTGTAGCTCTATCAAGTCGCTCTCTGATCAGTGAGTAAGCCTAGGACCCTCGTTCCCATGTATACCATATTCCCTAAAAGCCTAGATCCTCAAGTTCTGCATCCTCTAAAACCTGCTGAAATGCCTCAATTTGCCACTGCGGTCTAATATTGCCTCCCTTTTTTTCATACCCCAAAGCAACTTATTGAAATCCTTTAAACAAATCCAAGGTCTTTCCGATTGGTTAGCAAGGTTTTCCAGTATCTTCCATGCAAGATGTCTCTCATTTGTCTTTAATTCTCCATAAAAGCCAGTTACTCTCCAGTCATTACCTCCCTGTTTAAAACTTCCATATCAATATGGTATTTGGATAAGCTTAACAGCTTGAGATCCACCCCATCCTTCCACATCATTCCTAAACCTCCACTATGACCAATGGCATTTACTCCAAAAATAGCTTTCATATTGCATTTTCTTCTGATTCTATCTAGGTCTTGTGTCTTTTTTAAAGTCTCACTAAGAAAAACAATTTTGGGGCCTTCCTTCTTCACCATTGTGTGAACTGTGAAGAGCTCGAACTGTCTGTGGGTTCCCAAGCCCACGACAGCTCCAAGCCAAGATTTTCATTGCTCTCAATGGGACTGGAAGCTAGTCTTTACCGTTTGATTTGTAATGTGATGACTTACATCCTCCTCCATCTTGTGTCTCTTCCCTTGAAATTCAGCCTTCATCGTATCTTCTACTATATCTTCTTCGTGTCCCCTCTTTTTGTCTAATATTATACCAATGCTAGGTTCTCCCTTTAAAGGGCACCGAGCAAGCTTTTTTCATTTTGTCTTCAACCCTTGTGTGCCTTTGTTTCTGTGCTGCCATTTTCTGCTACCTTCCCTCCTTTAAACGTTGTTTCATGCAATTTGCTTATATAAGATTGTGATGCTCCTCTTACCTCTTCTACGGTCCCCATTCCTGTAGTCATTTTTTCTGTTTCATGTGAGTGCGGTGGGCTTTCTTCTAGGCTTCCCTTCCGATCTATCCTTCTAGGCCCGTATTTCCTTGCAGCTTCTTGCCTTTCACTATTTAAATTATCCTCCCAGTTGGTCCCCCCTCATAGACTTGATTTTGGTTCAGTAGGTCACCGACATGAATCACGTGATTTTGCATGGCCTGGCACCTGTACCTTGTACTGCCTCTATCTCTTATCCATATCTTTCCGCTATCAGATACATTTTCAAACGAAGGATCTGTTACCATAATTTCCTCCTGATTCTCGGAGACCCCAACGGTTACAGAACTTGCCATCCTTGCCCCATTGTTCACACCCGCTGAACCATTTCCCGGTTTACTTTCCCTCTTCGTTCTAGCTGGATTCCCTACCGAAAAAGATGATCTTTTTCCCCTAGTTGGTTTTCCTTTCAATAAGGATGCTCGCATCCTATCCCCATACTGCGTGTTTGTTTTGCCACCCTTATCAGTTTTGGGCTCCTTATCACATTCCGTGTCAAAATGGCCAATTTTACCACAAATGTAGAAAAAAATTTGGCATACGTTCGTACCCCAATCTGCCTAGGATGTCCTGTCCTTCTTTCCCCTTAATTAAAATTGCCCTTCATAATAGCTTCCGAATATCAATGGTGACCCAAAATCTCATAAATCTAGACCAACCCCTCCCTCTAGTCCTGCGTTTACTTCATGTAACTCACCTATTTTTTCTCCCAGACATATTGCTATTTCTTGAGTTCTCATCCCCAAAGGAAGTCCATGAATACGAATCTAGAAAGTGGCTTTTGTGGAAATTGTAGTCTGCAGGACATAGATTCGCCTTATAATCCTTCATTAATAACAGGTTCTTATCGAACGACCATGGGGCCCTGACCAGCACCCTGTTTTTATCCACTTCTTACTTGAACTTGAATAGAAAAATGTGATCCTCCTGAACCATGATCTCAACCTCCTTGGCAGTCTTCCAAGTAACTTTCAATGTGCTCATCATGGCTTCTTTGTTGAAGGATCTTGTCCTTAGAAGTTTTCCTATCATCCATCTATTTTCATTATCACTTGCCCCCTCTAGAATTTTTCTTCTGGCTAAACAAAGTCTTAACTTTTCTTCCATAAATGAGTGACGCTTCCATAGATCATCCAACTCATTCGCCATACAATGCTGCTTCTAATCGTTAGAACTATGAAAAAACCTGCCACAACTTTTCAAAACAATCGAAAATTAAACAGAAAACTAACTACCCAAAGGTTTTAAGGAGAACAAAAACCTTGGGAAGAACTTCAAGGAAAAACCAGGACTTCCCACTCCTCCCATGTCGTAATAATTACAATGTTCTAAATATATAAATTATGGTTGTTAATTTCATTTGGTACCGATTGAAACGGTCATACATTTTAATTATATCAAAATATAATATATCTAATGATAATTTTTGTATCAAATTTGGTATAAATTGTTTTAGTTGATTTTGACTTATTTTGAAGAATTTCGGTTAATTGGCTTATTTTGACCGGTACATGAAAATAAAATAATTTTATAATTTTAATTTGTCTTTTGTTATTTGATTATTTTTAATTTAATAAAAATAAAATTAATAGATAAAATAACTCTTAAAGGTTAAATTTTTTAAATTTTTTTATTATAACTTTTTTTTTTATATTTTATTTTTTCAAACAAAAATTTGTAAGCATTTCAATTTCTTTAAAGAAAGTAATTATACTCTCTTTCTAATGTTTAATAATCATGAAATTAAAGTTAATTTTTTTCATATCTTTAATTTTTATCTTAATTTTTGTATAAAATGACTTATTTAAATATCATATAATCAGATTGAGTAATTAAAAATATTATGAAAATTTTATGATATTATTTCTTATACTTTTAAACTGATTTAATTGATTTTTAAAAATATTACATATTTGTTTTATAAATTATTAATAAAATTATAATATATAAGTTCATGTATATTTATAAATATATTTATCCTAAATCAAAAAATTTTAAATAATGTGTCGAAACTATTGATACCAGCATATATTATATTTAAAAAATAAAATGTTGTTTAGTACAATATTAATAATTTTGACATAAATAAATATAAATATAAAAATTAAATGTATAATTATATCAATAAATGTATAAATAAGTCAATAAATAATAAAATAAATGATCATAGATATATAACAAAATTATTAGACATAAAATGATTTTAATAATTTTTAATTTGTATTACTCCATTTCACTTCAATTAAACGTATTTATCACCATTTATTTTAATTTCACTATAAACCCTAAATATCTAAAACTAGGGGACCTAACGGCTTGGACCTCGCAGGCTGAGTGGGGCGGAAAGAAATGGGTTGGAAAATGGAATGGGCAGGAAGGGAAAAGCACATGGGAGGAATACCGAGGAAGATGGTGTTCTTGGCGGTGGGGGCATTCGCCAAGGCGGCAGCCACTCTTCTCAACACCACCTCCGTTCATAATGCTCATACCCTCATTCGTCTTGTCCGCTCTCGACCCCCTGGCGTACCACTTGTTACTGTTAGCAATCACATGTCTACGTGGGTACACCCTTAAATCCTTTTTCCTTTACTTGATTCTTCAATAATTACAAATGAATTATATGGGATTATACTTTCTCGATGTTAGCAATCAAATTATGATGCTTTGCAGCTTGGATGATCCACTTATTTGGGGATTCAAGGGTTTCCCATCCTTGGATGCCAAATTGGCTCGCTGGGTACTTGCTGCAGAAGACATTTGTTTTAAAAATCCTCTCCTCACTTATTTTTTTAGACTTGGTATGCCATTTCTCTTTCCCACATCTACTGCCACCTTCTACTTCTCTATCTCTCTAAGAAAAAAATATTTAATTTATCATATCAGTAGCTTTGAATTGACTTAACAATTATGCTTGGATCCACATATAACCATCCGTCTTATTTAATTTGAACATTTAGTGTTTAGGGTCGAAAGATACCTTAGCATTACCAGCATAAGCTAACAGCCTCTTTTGACTGAGAAAACTGACAAAATATTTTATAGTTAAAGTGGCACATTGAACAGTTATATAGTCCATATACCATATTGAACATTTACCTTTTCTCGATGCACCATTTGTGTAATTACCTCATAAGTTAGTGAGGTAGCAACTCTAGTTGAAGTAGTTTATTGAACTTTAATCAAGCAAAGAGTTCATAGTGGGTGAAACCTAGTTTGGCTGGTTGGTTTTTACAGGCTTTGGTCAAAATATCTGGGTTTGATTGTTCTTTGATGGGTCTGATCTTACTCAAACTATAACTAGTTCTAGACCCCGCTTAAACAGTTCAAAGTATTCTGCCCTTATTGATCAAGGTTTAACAATCATGCTTTTCACATATAAAAATTACTAGCATTAGGTTTTGTAAGAAATGCCTTTTGAATTGTGAATTTTCATCGTTAACTAGAGCTCTGCTTCTCGTATAACATTAATACTAACTAAAACCTTCTTTATCCCTATGAAGAAATCTTCTGTCAGCTTGATTTGTTTTGTAAAAGACCAAATAGTTTTAAAGTAAGGCTTTTTCTTTGAAATGGTAAATTGTGCAGGCAAATGCATACCTATTACAAGGGGTGCTGGAATTTATCAGGAACACATGAATGAAGCTCTTCAGTGCTTAAACAATGGAGCTTGGGTATTTATCTGTATTTATACTATTGGATATTTCGAACTTTTGTCCAGAGCTTTTTCATGAGATTGTTGGATTTTTCTGAGCCATAGTTACTACATTTTTCATAATGTCTTGTTGTCTCTGTTATCACGAACAAGTTGATCAGGTTAACATTGATGCCTAGTCAGTCATGGAGCCTATCTTTATAGTTTCTACTGTTCGGTTTGCTGCTGAGGACAGTGGTGTAGTCAGTTTCATTCGTGTTAATTTAATAATTCTTCTTCCACTACTTCACTCCCTCTGTCAAGCTCTACAATAGGGGACATAGTTTTGTCTTTCATTGCAGTAGCCTTTAGAATGTTGGTTTTGGTTTTTTGATGTGGTAGCTCTACTAACCAGTTGTCAAGGAAGTACCTTGCATTTTCTGGCAATCAATTTTGACCTGCCACCCTTTTTTTTTTTTCTTGTCTATCTCTTGGCGCAGGACATCCATTGGAGTTTTAACCAAAGGAGAAGTAGTTGAAATGTTATGAGTGCTAGTAAGCTGTTAGATTTTTGGTTATAATGCTGAGCTAGTATCAGGGTAGTAGGGCCTTTTGGATGATATAAAATATTATTTCTGATCTAAACATCTTAAAAATGAGCAGCCCTTGGTGATTGAATGTAGTATATTAGAAAGCTTAGATATTGTGGTTGAAGTTTTGGATTGCATTTGTGGTTGGAACTTGGATGATGTTGTGAAGTGTTGGATTTTTAGGAGGTGAGCTAAACTCCTTATTTGACTTCACTAGGTTATCCCTCATGAATTCAACCATGTCTAAGAATGGCGAACTCCTAAGAGATTGAGAATTGGTTGAGCTTTTGTAGTGTCATTAATGAATGCACTAAACTTTTTAATAGAATGGTTTAAAAGCTTTTAATTTAGTTTTGTGTTGCTGTAGTGAGATTTCTTTTCACAAATATGCATACTTCATGGCTTTAAGCTTCCTAATTTTGTCTTATCTTCAACTGGCAGCTACATACATTTCCTGAAGGTAAAGTATCCCAAGAAGATGCTCCTATAAGACGACTAAAATGGGGGACTGCTAGTCTAATTGTTCGTGCCCATGTGACTCCAATTGTTCTTCCTATGGTTCATTGTGGTTTTGAACAGGTTAGATATCTTTTATCATTTGCCCCTTCTCTTCATTTTCCAGATTGAGTTTCATCTGAGTGAATTTTGTTTTTGAAGCTCCTAGATTTAATTTTGTTCTGTAGACATTTCTTTCTTTCTCATAGACTCTTTTTACTCAAAAAATATTTCTTTTTCCTAATCTATTGAGGGACATTATTTGGATATTGATTGTGAACATTTGCATGAATGCACTGACTGTGATATCTGATCTACTGATGCCAGTTTGACTATAAAGCCTCTTAGGAAATTATTTTCCTTGTTTGGGTTTTATTTTGATGCAATACATAGCATGGATTGTAAGATTCATAGTAACAGTATTAGATGACTATTGTGGATTGTAAGATTCATAGTAACAGTATTAGATGACTATTGTTGTCAGCGAAATGAAATTTTACTGCAAAATTACTTTGATTCCAACTTATCACATTCCCTTCAAGGATCAGCCTTCTCAAAATTTTGTAAGAAATTCTAATTAAAGGGTGTGATTGAAACTTAGGTGAGCAATGGATACCAATTTAAATAAACCATGTTTTTTCTCATTCACTTTCATGCCTACGCCTCATTTTACCTATTGATCCTGTGGTTAGTCATTGAGCCTGTGGCATGGGTTCTAGAATTGTTGGCTGAAAGTTACATACATGGATATACTTGACTACTGTTGACTTTTTTTGAGTAATCGCATTACTTAAGACAATAATTAACTTGTTCTGACAGTTGAAATCCTAGTGGTGATTAAGTATTATCAAATAATCCCTGTGCTACAGGCACACTGACTAAGCCAGTTCAGATGCCAAAGTCAGTAAAGTGGAGAAGCGTGGTTAGTGACTGTGCTAAAGTCATTTGACTTATACAATCCTGTTTAATTGTTGTATTCAATATTGGCTGCATGTCAGTAGAAAACGGTTGTTCATGGTGTCTTACATTTAGACCAATAAGCTGGAGAATTGTGGATGATGTCTTACATTTAGACCAATGAGGAGGAGAATTATGTATACTTATCATTTTCTTGTAGTGGCTCTTTCAAACTCACATTGCACGTTAAAATTAATGAAAATATAATGAGCATGTATTACTCAAATTCTATTTGATTTACTCTAATTGGCCTATTTGTTGATTTTGGTTAGTACCTTGCTGTCTCCAATTATATAATGAACAGGTGATGCCAGAGAAGTTTTATCTTGGCAGAAGGCCTCCTTTTCCATTATGCAATAAGAACATCAAAATTATCATTGGTGAACCTCTAGAATTTGATATTCCTAAAATGAGGCAGTTGGCAATTTCAATGTCTCGTGATCTATCATTTACTTCTAGAGGATGGCCTATTATTTCCCCTTATGGATTGGATGAAGCAGCGCAGAGATGCCTCTACTCAACTATTTCAGGGCAAATACAAACTGCTTTGGAGGGGTTGCGAAGTTTTGGTAAAAATTTCTTAAAATAGGTTATTTAAACTAAACTTAATTGTTTTTTTTTTTTTTTTATAAATTGAATATTAAATTTAAATGGGGATGAAAAAACAAGCGGATAGAAATTATGTATTACTGTTTGTTACTCCTAATTCCGTGCATCTCTCCCAACTTTTGTTTTTGGTTTTTTTTTTTGTTTTTGTTTTTTTTGTTCATGATGGGGGGATCACTCCCAACCTTTTCATGTTTGTCATTAATGCCAAAAACTCTTTTATTTCGACTCAATCTTTTGTTGGTTTTTCATATTGCTCTTTTGTTATATTTGATAAAATATATATCAAGTGATGTAGCCATTCAAAGTGGCATTGAGATCGAGAAAAAGATTAATTTCTTATGAAATCATTAAATTTTAAAAAAATTATTTATTTGGATAACTTAAAAAAGACGTTGGTAGAAGCTTAGAAACTCTTCTATAGCTAAAAATTTTTTGCCGTTCTCATCAGGAAAAGTTTTAAATTTTATAACGTTTATAGTTTTTTCGGGGTTAACAAAAGGGGCCGGTTTGTTGACATTGTATTAAATTTAAAATTATTTTTTTCCTCTAAAGGGAAAATGAAGAGCCGGCAAGGAATGGCCGGCTAATATTTTGCAATCCCATGAATTGTTCAGTTTTGTATGCACCCTTTTGATCTTTATGTGGCACGAGTGGAAGACGAAGGAAGCTTGTCTGTTTGTCATGATCGAGGAGGCTTCCTTCATTACTTGCAGCCTGTCCTGCTTTTGTCCTTCTCACCCACGACATGTGCCAGCTGCCAAGCTCATGTCTACGCTACGTTCTCTTTGTCGTGTGCGTCCAGCCATCCGAGACTAAGAAGAGTAGAAATATCAAATTTATGCATAATGAGAAATTTGATTTTTTATTATAATAAAAATGTAAACGAAAATAAATATTATATTTAAATACGAGGATGGAAAAAAAATATTATGATTTTAAATTTTTATTGATTACAAAAATAAAAATGAGTAATATAATATTTATTTCATATTTGTATCATATATATTTATTTATATGTATTTAGTAAATAAAAATTTTTATTAAATAATATAAATTATTATTTTAAATGAATTAAAATTAACATATTTTATTAAAAAATATATTAATATATATTTATAAAAAATAATTTAAATATACAAAATAAAAAATTAAAAAAGTAAATTTTAGTTTTTATTTTTTTAAAAGCTATAGGTGTGAGATATCCTTGTATCCATTAAAGACTAATAGAAATGAAGATAAAAATAAATTTAAAATAATTATTAAATATAAATATAAAATTTGATATAATATAAAATTCTGATGATGACTTTGAAAATGTTATATTTTATCCATAGCGTAAACATCCCCAACGAATAGTATTCTTCAATTCTTTTAAAATCACTTTCTCAATAGCTTATACAAGTTATGCCTTCATTTTTTTTTTTAAATCGCAACATAAAATTATAAATAGTAAATATTGGAGTTGAAATTTTAAATTTATTAAATATTATTTTTTAAAAAATAATTATATAAATTTAACCTATTCTCTCAATTACCAATCATGTAGAACTTACCAAGAGATCCTTTTACATTATCAGTGTACCCTGAATTCAAGGAGTTGCCAAATTTGATATGGAGGTGATGATTAATGGTTGCCAACAACGAACACCTATTCCGCGAATTGGGAGAAAACGGTAGAAAGTTAGAAAGGTAGGATAAAGTAAATTAAGTAAAGCAAACAATTGGAAATGGACGACAGAGGTAAGGTTGCTTAAACGTTAAAATCCAAAAGTAGGACCCCCTTTAGCTCTCTATGTAAGGTGTAAAGTCCAAATCTATGCTAAAGTAGAATGTTGCTTTAAGGCCCCGTCGCTGGGCCTGCTCCTGCAACGCACCTTCCCGCCTTCGTGGCGGCACTCTTGGACTGACCTGCCAGAGTAATTCCGAAATTTTCAGATGATGAATATTTACGGAAAAGTATTTTAATTAAATATAATATTATAAATAATAAAATATAACAAGTATTTTAAAGTGTAATTTTAAAAAAAATTTTGTTTGCAGGTTGTTGTGAGATTAAAATTTTTTTATTTAAATAAAAATATTTATTTTTTCATATCTTAACATATACTAATAAACATAATTTGTTAATAATGACAATTTTGACAATAAAATTAAATTAAATAAAATTACATTTATGAAATTAAATAAATTCAAAGTAATTATCCATAAATATAATTTATACCATAAACATATTTGTTATGTAAATAGATATACATTTCATTTTATTTAAATATTTATATTTTATTGTATACCTTGACATCTATTAGTATTTTTACTAATTTAAAATATACTATTATTTTTTATTACCAAAATATTTCAATGATATTAAATTAATTGTGAAATAAATTATATATAAAGATATTATAAAAGAAATATATCTTTGGACTTAAAAATAAAAAATGTGATAAAAAAATAGATTTAGGTCAGACTGATGGGTTTGAACAGACCAACAGTGCATTTTTAAAATCTTGTCCATATCAAATCAATTATAGCTTTGATATGCGCAAGATAAAAATTGATTTGTTTCCACACCCTTTCAAACTGGATGTCCGGGGATCTGAGGCCGATTGAAAGATAGGAAGCAAGCATTTAAGTAATTTAATTTATGCATTATATGGTCCATTTATAAGAGTCTCGTGACTCTCACCCTTGTCTTTTTTCTCTTCTAGGTTCTTCATTTTCCAGTCTGCCTTCTTTACTCTACGCCCAGCTCACCAGTAGATCTCTCGATCTGTTTTCTGCTCATTGGGTTGCAATGATATCGGCAGGTAACCCCGTTCTTTCCACTCCCCGTAATGCACCCATTTTATCAATTTTAGGATTCTGATTTTTGTAATCAATCAGCTTTTTTTTTTTTTTCAATCCCTTAATGAGATTGTGAGATCGATCCACGAGTTCACTGTCGGATTTCAGCTATATTAGGAGAGCTCAATGCCATTGGTGCAGTAGGAGTTTGCAGATTCCGCCTATTATCACCCCATTTATATGCAGTTCTTATGAGTGGATCTTCGCGTTTTCCTTTTTATTTTTTTACCCACTTTCCTGTTTTACAGTAGAATGTAGTTGATTTGGGTAAGTATTATTGTTGTCCTAGACTCTTGAGTAGTGTAATCTCTACTCAGAAATAAACTTTTTGCTGTAGTCCTTATATAATTGAGGAGCACAAAGGAAGGATTAGAGCATCCTTGGTTTCCATCGGGCAGATTCCCGTTAAATGACCATTGACACGCTGCCATCAATGGCCCAAAGTATGAGAAGAAGTAGGCCTTCTTTTAGCTCTAGTAATGAGCATGAAGAAGCTCAGTTACACAGCGCTGCTTCTGTTTCAAATGGGGACGATTATGACAGTGATGGCTCCAACTTTGCACCTCCGTAAGTGCCCCTCGGGTGTACCTCTTTAGTATTTTAATCCAAATTATATGTTACAATCAAGCCTTTTATGGGGATAGCTTTGTGACCTTTTTATCTTCCATATTTGTCACATCAAATTTATCTAATACTTCTACAATTGAACATATAAATGTACAAGGACGCCCCTAAATTTCCCTGAATGTTGTATTTATTTCTCTCTGCCCCAACTAAATTCCCTTCCTAGCAAAAAAAAAAAAAAAGAATAATTGGTCTTCCTTTGTTGTTAACTTTGGTTCTGTTGGAAATGCACACATACACATAATTCTTTGCTTGTTAGGAATATTTTCTACTTCTAAGTTCTAACAGTTTTCAGTCTGTTTCTCTTTTATAGCGGTACACCAACTACATTATCCATGGCACTTCCAGCAGAACTTGCTGGTGCAATACCCTTGATTGATAGATTTCAGGTGGGCAACTGAATCTTCTGGCTATAAGCATATTGTGCAAAACAAAAGCCATTACTCAAAGGTGCTTTTGGTTATGCATTAAAAAATGTCCAGAATTCATGTCAAACTTGTAATTATTTCTGGATCAATGCTTCTTGAAATTCTGATTTACAATCAATTGTGTAGGTTGAGGGATTCTTAAGAATGATGCAGAAACAGATTAATTCTTCTGGAAAACGTAGTTTTTTCTCTAAAAAATCTGTTGGCTCTCAAGTTCGAGAAAAATTCACATTTGAGGATATGTTGTGTTTCCAAAAGGTAATAATATGCTTTTTGTCAACAGAATATTTCTGTTGACTGAACTCAGGAGCCTCTAAATTAGAAGCATTTACTATCTACAGGATCCGATTCCAACATCACTACTTAAAATCAATAGTGACCTAGTGAGCCGAGCTACGAAAATGTTCCATATAATTTTGAAGTACATGGGAGTTGATTCATCTGAACGAGTAAGTCCAGTAAGCTTGGATGAACGGGTTGAGCTTGTTGCAAAACTGTACAAGCAAACTTTGAAGCGTGCAGAGCTTCGGGATGAATTATTTGCTCAGATTTCGAAACAAACAAGGAACAATCCTGATAGGTATGCTTATCCTCTTTAAGATATGCCTTCCTTTTGGTTTCTTGATGCCATTTATCTTCGTTGATTTGGATGTTACAGGCAATACTTGATCAAAGCATGGGAGTTGATGTATTTATGTGCATCCTCCATGCCTCCTAGCAAAGAGATTGGTGGCTATCTATCTGAGTATGTTCACAATGTAGCGCACAGTGCAAGCATTGATTCTGAGGTCCAAACGCTTGCATTAAATACATTAAATGCTTTGAAGCGTTCTGTCAAAGCTGGCCCCCGCAATACTATACCAGCACGTGAAGAAATTGAAGCTATTTTAACTAATCGAAAGCTAACAACTATTGTGTTTTTCTTGGATGAAACTTTTGAAGAAATAACATATGACATGGCAACAACTGTTGCTGATGCTGTAGAGGTACTATTATCAGTATCATCAGTATAGGTGTAATTTTATTATATGAAAATAATTAATCAAACTTTTCAGTCAAATTTTATTTTGTATAAAGGCCAACTCTATGATGTTTAAAGGCCAAAGAGTTGGCTGTTATAATCCAAACACATTACTTAAAGTAGGACAAATTGATGCATTTTATTATTCAATATTTATTGAGATAGGAAGTGAGAAAGGACAAAAAAACCTTCTCCTATTTTCAGTGAAAAAGGAATTTGTTATAATTGTTTTGCAAGTTAAAGACAAATTCATCGTTGTTCTCCTTGTACAGTCATGGAAGTGATGTCTTGTGTTGCATTTGTGCTAGCAGATTGAAAAACTGAATCTGTTTGGTGAAGGTTAGTTGTATGAATAATAAACTTCATGGTTGGATGGGTGGTCACTTACTAAATCTTGCTTCCTGTGCATTTTTGCTACTTAGAATTTAGACTAGACTCACTTATTTACCACTTAACCAATTTTTTCCTATATGCCATTTAAGTTCCTGCATGATATGATCATCTCTGGTAGGCTGCATTCTTCAATCCATGAAGCTTACATTGTGTGTTTTACTCCTTGGAATGCTATTTAAGAAAGTTTCTTGACCTCGGATGTCATTGATGGGTATATTTTTCCCTCAATTTCAGCAAACAGTTTTTTTACTGTTACTGACTCTTTTTTTTTTGGCATCAGGAGCTTGCAAGTATAATTAAATTGTCAGCTTATTCTAGCTTCAGCCTGTTTGAATTTCGTAAAGTTGTTACTGGTTCCAAGTCTCCTGACCCAGTGAATGGTATGTATTTTACTTCTTGATTGTTTCCTACATAATGAATTAAAGATTTGCTGACACTATTGTCTAATTTTCACTTATTGCCGCATAGAGGAATACATTGGGTTAGATGATA